TATTTTATGCAACCGTAAGTAGTCTTGTATGCAGTGTAAATAATTACTATTGTATGTTGTGTGAATATGTTCTGTACATAATTACTCTTGTATGTAGTGTAAATATGTGTTATTAAGTGTAGAGTAAGTGTTATTTTATGCAACCGTAAGTAGTCTTGTATGCAGTGTAAATAATTACTATTGTATGCAGTGTGAATATGTTCTGTACATAATTACTCTTGTATGTAGTGTAAATATGTGTTATTAAGTGTAGAGTAAGTGTTATTGTATGCAACCGTAAATGGTCTTGTATGCAGTGTAAATAATTACTATTGTATGCGGGTGTAAGTGTTATTGTAAGTGAATGTAATATATTTAAGTGTCCTTATACGTAGTGTCTATAAGTGTTTCTATTTAAAGTGTTAGTGGATTACGCATGTGTATGGTATATTAGTATGCTTCTATAGGCTTTATTTACATGGTGTCCAAATAAAACCGTTTGCTTACTGGTTGTCTTATTTACACCATGAATTACTGCTGAAAGTTTTAACTTAATGTGTTATGAAGCTAGTAAACGTTACCACTAGGTGTTGAAACTTAATGTGTTATGAAGCTAGTAAACGTTACCACTGGGTGTTGAAACTTAATGTGTTATGAAGCCAGTAAATGTTACCACTTGGTGTTGAAACTTAATATTTCTTGAAGCTAGTAAATGTTACCGCTGGTTGTTGAAACCTAATATTTCATGAAGCTAGTAAACGTTACCACTGGGTGTTGAAACTTAATGTGTTATGAAGCTAGTAAATGTTACCGCTGGTTGTTGAAACTTAATATTTCATGAAGCCTCTGAACGTTACCGCTGGGTGTTGAAACTTAATGTGTTATGAAGCTAGTAAATGTTACCGCTGGTTGTTGAAACTTAATATTTCATGAAGCCTGTAGACGTTACCGCTGGGTGTTGAAACTTAATGTGTTATGAAGCTAGTAAATGTTACCGCTGGTTGTTGAAACATACATGTTATGAAATTGCGCAATACATAATTAATGAAATGCATAGCTTTGCAAAGTGTTCTTGTATTCAATAAACTTGCTTGTATTTAATGTAAATATTAAGTTTCCATAGCAAAACATACATACTGATCTGGAGAGTCAATAAGTGCATTTGTTCAGATTGAAAAACGACGCATTTATATGTAAATAAACCTTCTTTACTTAGAGTCCCAAAACATGTGCTTATATAGAGTGTAAATAAGTGTACTGACGGGAATTGGTAGAGTTTACATTCATACATAGTAGTGATGATTCGAATGAAGAGTATGGTTATATACAAAATACAAATATCTTCTTGCATCCAATTTTACAAAAACATGAATCATTGGTAACGAAACTTGATACTGAACAACTAACACTCTACTATCTAAAAAATACGTAAAAACTTGACAATGTTTACACTGTATTAATATTTACACCAAATTGGTGGTAGATATGCAGAGAAACTACAAACTATCAACCCCCAAAGTATTCGTTCTGACGTCACTAACACCATATGCAGAGACACGGGAACGAATTTCAAATTTGGGGTGCTGAATATTTGTTAAAAATGGTTTTCAAACGTGTAGAAAATAACCATTTTTGTTCATTTCATAATCATATGCGCAGATCAAACCAAGTGTGTTTTATAACACACAACTTCACAAAGTGAAAAATACTCAGAATTAAAGGATTATTATTAATAATAATAATAATTTAAGGAGAACACCCTGTTGCACCAGCACAACATTTCCCCCTCGTCATGTGGGGTGTGGCTGCACTGACATAACACTTCCCCCTCGTCATGTGGGGTGCGGCTGCACCGGCACAACATTTCTCCCTCGACATGTGGGGTGTGGCTGCACTGACACAACACTTCCCCCTCGTCATGTAGGGTGTGGCTGCACTGACACAACACTTCCCCCTCGTCATGTGGGGTGCGGCTGCACTGACACAACACTTCCCCCTCGTCATGTGGGGTGTGGCTGCACTGACACAACACTTCCCCCTCGTCATGTGGTGTCACAGCTGCACCCCCCACTTCCTGCGTTCTTTTGAGTACGTTATAGTAAAAACAACAACATATACAATTTTTAAAACTGAATTTACTATACAAGGTTTCTATTTATCTAAAGCACATCATAATTTAACTTTGAACTACATACATACATATATACAGTTTAACGTAATGTATTGCGAAGTTATATAAAGGTTACTATGTTCAAAGTTAATGTGTTGAATAAAAGACAGTACGGGTGTTGTAACACAGTGTGTTATGAAGTTGGATTTATTTGAAGATTATTTATTACAACCGATATTTTTTTTTTCGGTAGCTAAAACTTCGTCCGAGTGGAAGACTTCACGTCCAAGTGCGGCTCTATAGAGAAGGCGAAGGTAGGAGCGTTTTTTTTTTTCTAGAGTAGTTTCATAAATGTAATCGCACCAGATTATCTTAATAAACACGCTGTCACCAGATTTTTAGTTTAATCTATTCGCCCGCGCCTTATTAGCTATGATCATTCATCAGTGTAACAAATTGAAAGTTATAAAACCATCAGGCCCGTCATTAATTAAGTTTCAGCACCTTCTGCTGGAAGTCGAATAAATTAATAAGCTATTACTACGCCAATCACACTCCGCTGAACAAGATAGATTGCCGATAAGATTCTTATTTTGATTTCATCTCCAAAACCCTTCAGCTAATGACGTTGTTTTCACTGAATTCCTTAACCTGAATCCACGTGAATATATTCGCGATATGCGAAATATCGATAATGACGTTGTTTTCACTGAATTCGTTAACCTGAATCCCCGTGAATATATTCGCGATAGGCGAAATATCGATAATGACGTTGTTTTCACTGAATTCGTTAACCTGAATCCACGTGAATATATTCGCGATATGCGAAATATCGATAGATTAGGCCCTTTGTAAAATGATTTGCAATTTCTCTAAATTTCAGTAACAACAGTCTTTTTGGCCTTTCTGGTTAAATAAATAGATAGATACATTTTTTATTACTGTACCCTAACGTCTGGTAAAAAACCTTGAAAAGCTTTTATCAACGCCTACATCATTCCGTGATATCTTTAACAACTTACAAAGGTTGTACTCTCGAAGCGCCATCGGTTGTGAAGGGGTTATAGTTCAGAAGCTGGATGTAATAGGTTGAATAAAAGGACTAGTATCCGTTGTCTATGCGTTACTCTGCATATACTATGCTAGATATTCATAAAGTAAAAAAAAAAAGGACATATAGATAATTATGTCAATTCCAAGGTTAATAACCCACTCTAACATTGTAAAAGTGCTCCCCAAAACCTCTTGTGAAATATATATATATATATATATGGAATCTTAACCTGCTCCTTTACATTTCTGTAAGGCAAATAGCTGCACAATGAGCTATCGGTGCTTTACCCAAGGTCGGGTATCGAAACCCGATCTTTACCGGTTTAAGCCCACTTACTGAGCCACGGAAGTGCTTTAAATAACCGTACTTTATTATCATCACTTCAAATTCTAAAAGAACTCATTTTAAAATATAATTTTCTTAATTTCGCGGTTCAAATCCATGCATCACATAAGTAAAATTACGTGTTATTTAAATTGGATCCAGTTTCTTGAAACCTGCAGGTTTTTATTTGCTATTAAATAAACAATTGTATTAAAATTAAAGTTAAACCACCTGTTAATAGTACAGTTTTCTTCAGCACAGTAACTTGTTGATTTAGCACAAAGCTACACAATGGGCTATCTGCGTTCTGTGCATCAAGGGGAATCGAATCCCGAACTTTAGCATTGTAAGTTCCTAAACTTACCACTGACCCACGGGGGACATAACAGTAAGATATTAACCTGTTTTAAATATAAATTTAAAAAAAATATTGAAAACTACCGGGTTGTAGCCAAGTCAGAAAATGGGAAGCATTAGAAATTTGAGAAGTTGAATTACCTAAACTAAACGAGGGCAAAAAAACTATTCCAGGACGTATGTATAGCTGTCAAACTTTCTAAAAGACTGGATTCGTATGATCATTAAGGATGTTTTTATTAGTATTTGTCGAGTAATTCGGCAAAATGATATTACGGTTTCATAAAGGATATATTTAATTATTATTTGTTAAATAGGTCAGCTAAGATATTCTTACCGGTTTCGTTAAGGATACATTTAATTATTATTTGTTAAATAGGTCAGCTAAGATATTCTTACCGGCCTCGTTAAGAATATATTTAATTATCAGCTAAAATATTTTTACCGTTTTCGCTAAGGGTATGTTTTCCATTTTCACCAATTTACTCAGGTTTCTTCAGAAATACTTTTCTTATTTTTATTGATGAAAGGTTAACCACCTTAGCTGAGAGAATATTTATGGTTTCAAGAGATCAAACTTAAGAGAGTGAGTTTTATCGTTATATATCCTAAAAGAATTTTCAATTTTGATAGTAAATTTTTTATGTTACGTTCAGTGTCCCTTTTCGATGGCCACCAGAAAAGCACAGGAGGAATCACCAGAAGACGTGGTGCTATAAAGCATCATAAAGTTCACGAGGTTAAAGGTCACAAGTTCATCGCCAAGTTCTTCAGACAACCCACATTTTGTGCTTTCTGCAAGGAGTTTCTGTGGTACATTTATTTATCATATTCGTTAACATCTATTGATTCCTCAAATTATCAAGTTGTTTTTATTCCTCCCACTACCGGTTGGTCCAGGTATTGAATAATTTTACGTTTTTGTCAATTATAGCGCTCAGTATAAAGAACTGATAACAAAAGGGTGAAATCGCTCGTTTTCTTTGTAAAATACATAGGAAGTCCGATATAACGCGGGACTAGTTGTAATATTGACATAATTTTTATTACATTTTGTGTGACTTATTTATTATTAGGGACCCTGATTAACAAAGTCATAGACTCACAAGCAATTTTGTACATAAACAGCTTAGGAAATATGTTTAAAAGTACAATAGTAAGAATAATGAAGGTAATTATAGGGCTAAAACACGCGTGTTTTTTTATATAAAATGTTTCCTAATTAATTACAAATAAAGCACTGAAGATTACCGTCTTTTTATAGAGTTCTCTTTTATGTTACTTTTATAAGTGATACTGAACGTCATGTGTCATTTCTTAATTTATTCTGATGACGTCAGTACATAAGTTAATACGCTATTCAGAGTAATCACCGAACGTTTGTTGTTGTAGTTGATTTTATAATTGGCAACAAATTCAATATTTGTTTATCTGAAACGTGTTATTTAAAGATTCTAATCCTCACTCCAAGTAAAACAATACAAAGAATTTCGTATTAAGTATTAATTATTCACCGTTCTTCATATTATTATGTCTTAAGGTTATAATTTAATCTAATATTTTTGTTATTGATTAATCTACTTTATGAACCTTGGATAACAATGTAATAACGGTGTGCTTTATTTTATTTTATAGACTTCCTTTATAAAAACTAAAGTTTATTGTTAATCTTCTCTCTTTTATTAGGGGATTTGGAAAACAAGGCTACCAGTGTGAAAGTAAGTCTGGATTAATTTCTATGAAACGGTGTTTTATGTGAGGTATTTTATTAAAAAGTTAATAATATCCTGTAATCATCAGAATATCAGATGTGTTAGAGAAATTAAATCGTTCATGAGCTTTTAATACCACAAAAAATGAAGAAAAATTATAATGTTTAAAACGTTCACACAATTCAACAGAAAAAGTTTGTCTTATTTGATGCTGTAAATGTGCAGGTCTTATATTCAACAAATGACCCTAATCTTTAGTGTTACAGAACTTCCTATTCAATATTACGTCCACACGACTGTCAGGACTTATATGTCTTCTGATTTATTTTTTATTTCTCCTTTTTTTTGGCTGACTGAACACTATTGTATGAATTTTTTATTGTGGCGTCATCTATGTACAAGGAAAGCAACTAAAATTTAGGAGAAGCAGTTCAGATAACTATCACACAAACAAAGATACAGTATAAAATTATAATTAACTTAAATGTATAATCCGATCCATAGCTTTCTAGAAGATCAAATATAATAAAGATAGATCAGATTGTCTTGTGTGAAATAACAAAATGTGTTCAATTAATACTCATGTATCTAAACAAACATAAAACATTGTTAGTTCAATTCCATGAATATAGTTTAGGTTTGCGCTTATTTGCTTATTTTTTATAAACAACGATTCTGGCCAATATGTAGATAAATTCATATAAACGTATTTGTTACCTTTTTAATCACAATAAAATTAGAAACCAATAATTAATACTAGGACAATGATACCCCAAAATCAAGGCATATATTTTAAACAAACAACTTATTAAATCATTATTTGCTGGACAGTTTATGTAAAAGTATCCACAAGAAATATAGATAGATCACAATATTTTTTTCTAGCATGCCAAGTCGCGGTACACAAGAGATGTCATGACAAATTTTTAGGGAAATGTCCCGGATCTGGGAAGGAATCTCAGAATACATTGGTTAGTAAACATTTGATTTATCATTTTTCTTAATTTCTGATATAATATTTTTATAATTTTGTTTCTCCTAGGTGGCACAATTTCTAAGCGAAAAAGAAAACGTATTCGATTGATTATAAATGTGTTTTTAAACTACCAGCAATAACTTCAGATGACCAACAAACACGATTTCTTTTTTCTCTCTATATATGCAAGTATAATAAAAATATTAAATTTTATAAAGACAAATAAGGATCGATATATAAGTAACCTAGTTAGCTATAGTAATATAGAAAGTTTTAATGCTACAAAAAGTATCGAAACAAGAAATTCAAAACTACAAAAACTGAGCTGCTTACAATTTTATATTTTTCTTATTTTTTAAATTTTAAGTAAGTCAGTTTTTTTTTAATTTTGACTTTCTGGTTTCAATACTTTTTGTAGCATTAAAACGTTCTATATTACTACAGCTAGCTAGGTTGCATATAGATCGACCCCTACTTGTCTTTATAAAATTTAATTATCTTATTACGCTCGTTTCTTTCCTTTTTATTATCTATATTTTGTGCACCAGCAATACCAATCGTGGGGCGCTTATTTCTTATCAGGATCTCTACCAGTCTACCTTCAAATCTAATTATATGCCCAAATTAGCTAGCGCATCGTCCGTTATGCATGTACCATCGTTTCCGGTACAAGAAAGGAATAATTAGAACCCCAAACGGAAGAGTTCTGTGAACAAATTTGAGCGATAAGGTTCGTTATTTTTTCTGTACGCTTGTCTGAAAAAGTCACTTACTTAATTAGACTAAAATTCGTTGAAATATGGAATTTTCCATTCACTCCATAAACACATATATAGCGATTTAGGCGGCTTTATAAGTACAATAAGCTTTAGTCATTGTCACTATTCAGTCATTTTAAAGGTGGTTTTAAACGGCGATTTTTACGGCCGCCATTTTGTTTCATCACGATACCTACTATTAAGTACTACCATATTTAATAATATCCATCGAGCTATAAAAAGGAACAGGAGTTCACAAAGATCATTGTAATCTAATATCATACGAAAAAAAGTGAAGGTTGAAATAAAAGCTGCCTTATTTTTGTGACAATAGCTACTAAACTTAAATGTTATACAACTAGCATCAAGAGTTTTATCAGCTATGCGTTTAAAGACTGACAATGCTAGGTTTATAGTTACACTTACCCTTTAGATGTCATAGTAAACAAGTGTCTGTTTATCAGTCGGTTTTGGTTTCTCACGTGTTTAAACATCAATAATATCTAAGTTTTAGCTACGCCTGTTTGTACATCATAGTAAACAAGTGTCTGTTTACCAGTCTGTTTTGTTTCTCATTAGTACTTGAGAGAAAGATTCAAGATCAACGTTCCTCACAGGTTCCGTGCCCACAACTTCCTCAGCCCAACATTCTGTGACCACTGTGGGTCCCTGTTGTATGGACTCTTCCGACAAGGCTTAAAATGTGACCGTAAGTTTACTTGCAGTACAGCTATAATCAGTAGCAAAAACAAGGTTAAACATGCTTTATTGTTTGAACCTCAGTCTTATTTAAAAAGAGAAATATATTTATAGCATTCTTTGCTAAACATATAACGATATTTTGAACACTGAGAGATTATTTTTGGCACCTTATAACTTTTCAAAAATTTTATGATTCTGTTTATAGATGAACAACTTTAATATCTTTGTAAAGAGGGAAATATGTGATAATTAGCGTGCCAAATTCTCCATGGATTTTATTAAGACCCCACCGAATAAGTTTATATTGTGATTAACTTTATTGAGGAATCGTTTTTTTAAGCAATTAAAACTATGACGTTTCAATACAAGAGAGCGGATCATCTTCAGGCAATGTATGATTACCCAAAGTACTTATTAATTAATTAATTGTTGTTAAGATTGCCCATTCCCCTCCCCCCCCCCATTCCTATGAACTGTAAAATACAAAACTACACATTGGGTTTTCTGCGCTGTACTCACCGCGATTCGAATCCCAATATTCATTTATCACTATGAGCCCTAAAACTTACCGTTGAGCCACGGAATTGAGAGGGGGGTAACTTCTTAGCGGTGAAAAATTAATTTTTAGGTAATTCTTTAATGTTTGTCTGCTGATGCTTCCGTTTGGACGTACAAATACATATGGCTTTATTTAGTTAGGTAATTCTTTAATGTTTGTCTGCTGATACTTCCGTTTGGACGTACAAATACATATGGCTTTATTTAGTTAGGTAATTCTTTAATGTTTGTCTGCTGATGCTTCCGTTTGGACGTACAAATACATATGGCTTTATTTAGATGATATCGCCTACGATCAGTGGTGTAACGAAAGTCTGAAGGCCCTGTTTTAGAATTTTCCTACGTCCTTCCTTCTCTCACACTCACATATGTGCAATATTTTCATTAATTTTCCTACGTCCTTCCTTCTCTCACACTCAGAACATTACGCATCCTGACTGAGGCCAATAAAAGTATAGATACTGAGTTCCTGAAGAGTATATGTATTTATTATGGCCCCCTGATACTTTCTTGTGACCTCCAGGGGGTCAAATCCCCCAGTTTGGGACCACTGCATTAGAGTGCAGAATTAGTAGACGAGTTGCCAAAACAAATTATTCGTTCTGGATGTTACTATTTGTGTCTGTAACATTAGGTTGTACTGTTTACAGAGTGTAAAGTCAACTGTCACTTTAAATCTAATGTGTCTGTAACATTTGGTTGTACTGTTTACAGAGTGTAAAGTCAACTGTCACTGTAAATCTAATGTGTCTGTAACATTTGGTTGTACTTTTTACAGAGTGTAAAGTCAACTGTCACCATAAATGTGAAAAACATGTCCCTAATCTCTGTGGAGTGAACCAGAAGCTTCTATCTGAAGTCTTATCCACAGTAAAGAAAGGTTAGAGAGAACATTTTTCTGAAATTCTTGAATCTTTTTTATGCACTTGTTTAAAAGTTGGTATAATTTAGATTTATCCCAATTTTGAAATATACTTTTTGAAATTAATTTCAACCTACCATAAAATATAATATCATCATATGTTTAAAGTTTTACATAGAAAACAAGGTAGGTAAAAATTGTTTTTAATCACTAGGTGTCTGGCTATTATTTCTGCTTTTTTATCCTACCGTACGTGATATAGTTTCTAGTGTGTTTGTGGGTTTTCCAGTTGTTTATGTCGGTGATGGTCTGATTGTTATAGTTGTTTATGTCGGTGATGGTATTATTTCTATAGCTGTTTATGTCGGTGATGGTATGATTTATAGTTGTTTATGTCGGTGATGGTGTGGTTTTGTTTATGTCGGTGATGGTCTGATTGTTATAGTTGTTTATGTCGGTGATGGTATTATTCCTATAGTTGTTTATGTCGGTGATGGTATGATTCCTATAGTTGTTTATGTCGGTGATGGTATTATTCCTATAGTTGTTTATGTCGGTGATGGTGTGGTTTTGTTTATGTCGGTGATGGTATGGTTTTGTTTATGTCGGTGATGGTATGGTTTTGTTTATGTCGGTGATGGTATGGTTTTGTTTATGTCGGTGATGGTATGGTTTTGTTTATGTCGATGATGGTATTATTTCTATAGTTGTTTATGTCGGTGATGGTATGATTTATAGTTGTTTATGTCGGTGATGGTATTATTTCTATAGTTGTTTATGTCGGTGATGGTGTGGTTTTGTTTATGTCGGTGATGGTATGGTTTTGTTTATGTCGGTGATGGTATGGTTTTGTTTATGTCGGTGATGGTATTATTCCTATAGTTGTTTATGTCGGTGATGGTGTGGTTTTGTTTATGTCGGTGATGGTATGGTTTTGTTTATGTCGGTGATGGTATTATTTCTATAGTTGTTTATGCCGGTGTTGGTATGGTTTTGTTTATGTCGATGATGGTATTATTCCTATAGTTGTTTATGCCGGTGTTGGTATGGTTTTGTTTATGTCGGTGATGGTATGGTTTTGTTTATGTCGGTGATGGTATTATTTCTATAGTTGTTTATGCCGGTGTTGCTGTAATTTCTAGTTGTTTATATCGGTGGTGGTGTGATTTCTAGTTGTTTATGTCGGTGATGGTGTGGTTTTGTTTATGTCGATGATGGTAATATTCCTATAGTTGTTTATGTCGGTGATGGTATGATTTCTAGTTGTTTATGTCGGTGATGGTGTGGTTTTGTTTATGTCGATGATGGTATTATTTATAGTTGTTTATGTCGGTGATGGTATGATTTATAGTTGTTTATGTCGGTGATGGTGTGGTTTTGTTTATATCGGTGATGGTATTATTCCTATAGTTGCTTATGCTGGTGTTGCTGTGATTTCTAGTTGTTTATATCAGAAATGAACTCATTCTTATAGTTTTTAAATTGCAATTTTGGGTATTTTCTAGCTACCAGTAAATGTGTTGACGTCATTCTTAATTTTATAAATGGTATTTAGTTTTCATTAAGTTTTTGGTGCCAATGTTAGGAATAACTCCTAGTTTAGAAGATGTTAACTGTACGTATACTGCTGGATCATTTGAGATGCTCAAACTGGACCAAACCAGCATTCGAACAATCATGACATCTACGACGGTGTACCTGACATGTTACATAATTTTCAACTCTAGTTCGATGGAAAACATTTGTTATCTGTTGCTCTAATTCGTTAACGGTTTGGGGTTTATTTTCATACATCCTTCAATACTATTTGAAGTCAAAATAAAACTTTTAGAATCGGTATAAAGAAGTTGCATAACTTAAATGATGGATACAGTTTTTTGGACCACCCTCTACTTGTTAAACTATATTTTCATATTTGTTCACTAGAGGGAGATGTTTACATGATATGATAATTGTACGAAGTATAAGAGTTTCATGAAAGTTTAGGCCTCGGTGCATCTCGAATGTTCATGAAGCTAAATATTTGAATTTTTAATCGAGTATTTGAATATTCGATTTATTGAACCGTGAAGTACCGAGGATGAAAGTATTCTTTAAAGATTTACTTATTTTTGTTTAATTATACACATTTCAATTTTATTTTACATGCTTGTCAGTAAATATTTTATTAATTTACAGAACTCAAACTCAAGACTTCTTACTAAATGTGATGTATATTTAAACAATAAGAACCTAAACACTTTTCGGAAGCTATTCTGTTTGTCGAACTGTTGATTTAAACAATATATTACATGTTTAAATCAGAATTATGGTAAATGCCATAAATATTAAGTGTTTTTTTTTCAGACATTAGCACTCCACCGATTAGTCCATTATATTACATGTTTAAATCAGAATTATGGTAAATGCCATAAATATTAAGTGTTTTTTTTTCAGACATTAGCACTCCACCGATTAGTCCAGTGTCTCAAAAACCAGATGAGACAGAAACCAATAAGCCTGTATCTGAAACTGCAGTTCAATACACTCCGTCAAGCATTGACTTGGATGAACGTTATGAGAATAAGCCATCTGGATATAATGAAGCATCTCAGAGGAAAGAACAACAAACCCTCCAAGCTCGAGGGTCATATAAAAATGACGTAGGGAAACACTCGAGAGTAAGATTTAAGAAGTATGCCTTAGACGATTTCACCTTTCTGAAAGTTTTGGGCAAGGGTAGCTTTGGTAAGGTAAGATAAAAAGTTTTATTTTATAATTCGCTTTGGGAAAACTTCGTGTGAAATATCCAGGTAAAACTGAATTACCTATAGAACAATGTGATAGATTAAAGGAGATTTGGTCAAGGTACCGATTACGAAGTAATTCTATATTTCTGAATAATTTTATTTTGAGATGGGAATAAAGAAATTGAACATAATTTAAAATACAAGTAAACAGTCTTTATTATTCACAAACACAGTGTTTGTACTTGTTCTTTACAACGCTTCTATTGGATCTTCTATATTCAAGCTAAATCCATCTATCAAACTAAGTAAGTCCAGTGTTTCTTAGTTCTCAAGAAGTTTCCTACTTAGCCCGAATGACTGGTGTTACCTAAGTGACTGGTCATTCTCATTCAAACACAAATGATGCTATAACCTCGAGACATCACCTTAACTACTACAGAAGGATACTGCTGTCGATATTCCTGCACAACGTGCAGTATTGCAGCAAGACCACCAACGGGCAGAACTCAAGTTTTAATAAAATTGTTTCTTTCATTTGAAAAACTGGAATTCTTCTACAATTTTCAATTGATGATATAAGTATTTTATGTACTTGTCGTGTATAGAGGGACAGAAGAACGTAAGTTTGATTATATTAGCTAATGGATGATATCTCGCTTTGAAATCAACTTATAACGTCTACAGCAAACATTTATATTACTGGTTAAGTGTCTGTTTTATTTTAAACTAAATGGTTAAGCAGTAGAAAGAACAAAGTGCGAAATTGAAACAGAAGAGGATGAAATAGGAAGAATCCAAAATTTAATGTATTGAGTAAGAATTGAAATAGAATACGTTTAGAGAGGAATAAATTATTTGATACACTTTATCGTAAACTTCTCTATTTTGTTCTGTTTTTAACGAGAGAATGACAAAACTTCCAAAATAATTCGAATAATTTTCAACTTTCACCTAGGTGTTGCTGGCAGAACTAAAGGGACACGAGCAATATTTCGCTATTAAGTGCCTGAAAAAGGACGTTGTATTGGAAGACGATGACGTGGAGTGCGCGATGATAGAAAGGAAAGTGTTAGTACTTGGAACCGAACACTCGTTCTTGTGTGAACTCTTTTGTTCCTTTCAAAGTGAGGTAAGTGTCTTTTCTTAGAGTGCTCTATATATTAATCTCACTTGATTTTCCTTAGACAAATGTCAACTAGAAAATGATAATTACCTATGATATTTTAAAATGATACCTAATAGTCAGTCCTCAGAAACTAGAAATTATTTGTAAAACATGTGTTACAAATGTACCTTTCGTTCTTACTAGAGCCATCTTTTCTTCGTTATGGAATATCTGAGTGGTGGAGATCTAATGTTTCACATCCAACAATCTGGAAAATTCGATCAGGAAAGAGCCAGGTAAGCTTGAATACTGTTATCTATCTTTTTATGTCTCTCGTAAAACATGTCAGCTCAAAATTATAAAATCAGTCTGTTTCATTCACACGTAAATGGTTTATTTCTGGAGTGACCCAAGTATCATACAGGTTTCTTAAGCTTTGTTGTCATATCAAATTAAAAGATTGGAACTTCGTAAGTATCAGTGAATAATAATGAAGATCACTTACATACTTACATCAAATATGTCAGTTTTCTTCACAAGATAAATTTCTCCATTAATTCTGGATAAACCTTTTCTATTCAATGTTCTGCTTTTACAGCTTATCTTCAGCACCCTACGGTTAAAAACAAAGTTCGAATGTGTTGATTGTTCTTATGATTTTCCAATCTTCTCAACCATTGTTAAGATCAAATATATGTGCATGGCATTACAGTAATATTTTCGTGTGGGGTAATGTTATCATTTGTCCTCATTTTCATTTTGAAATTCCTAAATCCATATATTGGTCATTCTAATCCGTTTCTTGATCCCTAAATTCTCACATATAACATAGATCCCTGTATTGTTTATTGAAGGGACCTTCAACCTCGTCAATATATTGTCTCCTTAAGAAAATTTTATTTTAGCAGTCATGTACGAGTCATCATTAAAATTCAGATATTATGTACTTCTATCTCCAATCTATTTACTTTGGAGAATTTTATTTATCGAAATAAACCTTGCACGTTGTTATTTTTAATCAATAATCAAATTTACATTTTTGCTTACCTAGATTCTATGCTGCAGAAATAGTCATAGCTCTGAAGTTCATGCATAGGAAGGGAATAATCTACAGGTACGTACTGGTTATCAGTTTTAAAATATAGTCCAGTTTCCTTCATGGTAAAGTACATGAAACTATTTATTTTAGTCCTGCTTTTATTACCTACTTGTAATATCAAACGTGTGGAATATTCTCCCATTTAGAAAAGAAAACTGAACATAAGTAAATTAACGTAGAGAAAAACGAAAAACTCCGTGGTTTTTCGTTTTCTTTTCAAGTGTAAAGCTGCACAATGGGCTGTCTGCGCTGTGCTTACCACCTCTAAAGCTAACCGCTGAGCTATCGAGGAGAAAGTTTTTGGTGCCTCCTAGAGGCTCAGTGTTAAAAACGGTTTCAATACCAGTGGTAGGCACAGCACAGATAACTCGTTGTGAGCTTCGTGTTTAAAAACAAATGAACAAAAAAGTCTCTGATTTAAGTAATTTATTTTGTTAAGTAGATATGCTATAATAAGAAGGCTTACCTAAGAATTTAAGGTATTCATAATTATTCAAGCAAATAATATAGTTATTTACTGACTTATATTTGGTTATAAAATACAGTTTTGATGTTGAAAACGGAAATGAAAATGAAAACATAACAAAAAAGTCTACTATAAAATACACCTGGCGTGGTTTAGTAGTTAGCATGTCCGGACTGAGTATTTAATATTCGAGACTCGTTGCCGCAAAAACACTCTCTGACTCTGTGGCCGTTGTTGCGTTATAAGAGTGACGGTCGGACAAGAGTTGGCGGTTAAACTGCCTTTTCTCTAGCCTATCAGTTGAAAATTACAGATCGCCATGCTCAGATAACCTTGTATAGCTTTGCTATAAATTTTAAAATATAATACAACAAGCAAACATTTATTATAAACTAACCAGTGTTTGTCCAAACAGAAAACGTTCCTGATCATGTTGGTGAATAAATCATCAAAAACAAAAAAGTATTGGTGCTGAAAGAAGCTGTAGAAAAGTAAATTACATGTAAAAATGGCGGTTAGGCCTAAACGTGTGAATAAGATATATCTATCTGTATTAGTCTTCCATTAAATAAGTATGTTAGTTTATCAATCAGCCATCGTATAACATATTACTGGATTATCGAAAGGTTTGCTTTGTTCTTGGTTGATCTTTCAAACTGTTTCGCGCTAAATTATCTTTGTCCAAAAGTCTAGTAATATAATCAAAGCTTTAATCAACCTGTTAATTAGGATGAAACTGGGAAACAGTCTTCACAAGAAGAGTTTCGTAAGCCTAAGTTGTACGGAATTAGGCCTTCTACTCTACGTATCTTCATATGTAAATATTTGTATGCACTCAGTTGATTTATTAATTTTCTAAATATGTTGTACATCGTTATAAAATCTTCTAAAATATCCAACAAATGTTTGGTTTCAACTTAATATCAAATATTTCTTAGTTCTTCTTATCATTGCTGGTAAATTTGTGATGTGTGTTGTTTCTTGAAAATTTACTTTATTGTGTTCATTATTATTACTGAATTATGTTGTCACAGAAAAACATTATTTGTTGAACGTGAAATAAACATTAATATAACACTCATGAAACAAATTTCAAAATCAAATGAACGCAAATAATATATTTGTATATAAAGCTCAAGAGACGTGTGTGTGTATACACTTTCGACACTTGTATTATTAATTGCTTTCTATCAGACTTGTTATTTATCCCTTGCCCCCCAAAAGGAGTGTCATTAGATGTCGGTGTTCGGATCTGGTACCATTACCCCCCCCCCCCACCTTTCTCGCCGTGGTTTTTGACTGATCTCGATTCAGCTTAGCATGCACCCTTAGGAGAGAGAAATGTTGGGGGGAGTCAGAATTCGGAGCTCACCCCCTATTTCACTATCCTCGGGCTATATGTTTTCCGCACATTTTGAACGGGAGCTTATGAGATACCCTAGAATACCCATTTGAACTATGAAACAGTAATTATTATGGTCCTTATCACCAGGTGGATAGAACGTGACATCTGAACTATACAATAGTAGTTATTAGTGCCCTTATCTCCAGGTGGCCAGAACGTAGCATCTGAACTATACAACAGTAGTAATTATTGCCCTTATTACCAGGTGGCCAGAACGTAGCATCTGAACTATACAACAGTAGTAATTAGTGCCCTTATCACCAGGTGGCCAGAACGTAGCATCTGAACTATACAACAGTAGTAATTAGTGCCCTTATTACCAGGTGGCCAGAATTGATTTTGCACTACTTCCATTGCAAAAACTTGTTAGAAAAATTAGTTTCTGTACACGTTAACGGTTGTTCCTTATGTGTCGGTTTGATATACAGTTGAATGACCAGCTTCAATACATATAAAAGCTTGGGGTTTGTTTTATCACAGGAGTTATATGGTCTTTTACATCGCCATATTTAAAAACTCCTGACTTTACGGATGTTACATTTAATTCACCATACACCACATTGAGTCAACATTTATCAGCAGTATTTTTCAGCTGTTTTAACAGTATTACCACACAAACTTAAAACACACACCAAGTTGTATGAAATTTTCTGAATACTAATTCTCACTGTTTTAACAGTCTTATAACATACAATGCATTACCAATTCTTGTTTATGCTACTGCCGAGATCCGATGTGTCGTGGAAGTTTACCTCCTACTTTTGTATGTGGTTTTAGGGATCTTAAGCTGGACAACGTTCTTTTAACTCGCGAAGGACATGTGAAAATTTCTGACTTTGGAATGTGTAAACTTGGCGTAGGTGACCAGATAAAGACTTCAACGTTTTGTGGTACTCCAGACTACATTGCTCCAGAGGTAAGCCTCCCAACCCTTCACTAACATTTCCATTAGTTTAGTATGATAACTCCAGTTTAGACTTCTATTTTTTGCGGTACACCAGACTACATTGCTCCAGAGGCAAGCCTCACAAACCTTCCCTAACATTTTCATGAGTGCGACAACTCCAGTTTTTGCATTCCCCGAGTTCGGGATCGAACCTGAGACCTCTTTTTCACGTCAGGCGAATCCTCCATCAACTGACAAAATGGTTAACCCACTAGCAGATGCAAATAAGGTACGTTTTAACAATTTAAATTACTATAAGATTTTAATTCGTGTTACAAAATACTAGTCCCTTAATAAATTCACTTACTAATTCCCAAATAATTATAGTCTTAACAACTGTCGCCCACAAAATTAATTTTAATTCGTCCAAATTTGGGGTTACTGTTTTTGATATCTTAATCTTTGTAATATTTAATTGTGCAGTATAAGATGCCAAATAACTTTCTCAAAGTACATAAAATATAAAAAAATTGTGACGTCAATAAATAACATAGATTTCACTGATGTCTTCTTCTCAACAAAATTAATTGGAACTTAGCTTATAGCTTTATAGAAAATTAACCTTTAAGATCTCGACTGCAGCAACATTAATTGTTGGACCTTCAAGAAGACTCTTCAATAGATAAAATACGCATTGTCTTTAAGGGAGCAGCTTCAATTTTTTTCATCTCATGAATATACAACCTTCATGTGGGTGTAGAGAACGCGTTTTACATTGCCAACTGGACACCCGTCAGAAACTTGAACGGAGCACATTGGTGAACTCATGTCAACGAATGTTAGAATGAAGTTTTATGCTATTAGCTGTTTTCAAGGCCTGACAACCCGCTTCAAAATAAAACACTGCTGTATAAAAAAAATAGCGAACAATTAATTAAATTGAAAACTTTTATGCAGTCATATCTTTAACGAAATAATATTTTTTGACTCAATAATCACTGACGGAATCCATCTATTTTTAAACACATTTTTCTGAATTATATTTCCATCAAAGTATTTGTTTGTCCATGACTTCGTTGGTTACAGAGTTTCTAGTGACATAAGTCACACAAAAATGTAAAATAAAACTACTGATGTTATTAATCCTATATAATTGCTGTAAAATAAAACTATTGATATTATTAATCCCATATAATTACTAGCAAAATAAAACTATTGATATTATTAATCCCATATAATTACTGTAAAATAAAACTATTGATATTATTAATCTTATATAATTACTGTAAAATAAAAATATTGATATTATTAATCCCATATAATTACTGTAAAATAAAACTATTGATATTATTAATCCTATATAATTACTGCTGTGTTTTACTTAGAAAATTAATGATTTCATTCAATCTTTTTTTGGTAAATTCTTTACACTGAGTGTTAAAACAAACAATAGCATAAATTACTTTAAAAATATAGCTTATGGATAAAAAAGAACATGTAAGTAAAAAATAATAGAAAAATCTTTGATTGTGTGAGCAAACCACAATTTCAAACTAAACAAAGTTTTTAATTTTATTGTTTTAACAATAAAGGTAAACTAACAAGTGAATGTGAAAATTAATTGTAACAGAATACAGTCTCGTGTTGATAGTTTACATTGTGACTAGCTGTCATCCAACCAATTAGACAGCGCCACATTGGCCTAATGCCTATAAAATTTATTCCATGCGACTGATCTCGTATTTCAGCAATGTATGGAAATACTTAAGAGGATACATTAAACTAGTGATATAAATGGTCAAAATAGAAAGCTCAATCTCTGCAAACTTGGTATGAATTAACTCAGGATGTTGTCGTGCTTTGTATGTGTTACGTGACAATTCAGTAGCAATAATCTAGCTGAAGGAACAGGTGTGAATGTTACCTCCAGAACACATTGGCACGGAGTATTTTCAGTTGCTGTTTAACTGCTCAGAAACCATTCCTTTGGAGATATAACCCAACCAAGAGGATGGACTGGTTATCAGATTTCAAACTATGAGATACGTAAATCTTGATGAGAGTGCTTTTTACAAATCAATCTAAAATAACCTGTTTGGTAAAATTCAATAATATTATATTGGATGGCAGAGAGGAACATGGAATTACAATCAACGTACAGCATCTACAGAAAATCATGCTAGGGTCCAGTGTTGGCTGCATTCTCGGCCAATGGTCTTAGAGACCTACAAAACAAATATGGCTGCTGATAGTTAGAGCAGATTCTTGTACACGATATCAGTCTTTCAGGGACAAGACCTGTCGGGCATAGATTTATCTTCCAGAAGGACTGTGATCCCAAGTATGTAGTGAAACGATACCAGGTCAAATAATTAGGCCAATCAAGTCCTCGCAACCATGGCTTTGTCTACACAAAGCACCGATTAAATATTAACATTAAGGCTTTATGGGCATATATAGAAACTGAGAAAATCAAATCGCAACCAAACAATTTAACTGAATTATGGAGTGTTATAAAGGACGTTTTGAAAAAACTTTCACAATATTACATTGATAAATGGTAGTGTAAAACAAGTAAATACAAAATTAATACATTTTACAGCTTTTCATGTGTATTTTCTATAATAAGACATTGTACAATAAACCATTTACTCATTATTTGTGACTTTTGTATGTGTACCATCTGTGTGTTTCACTATTACCTCCAATAATGTACATTTATTATTAAGTAAACTAGATTGTTGGATAGTTGGCTGTTGTTAAGCACAAAGCTACGCAACGGACTATCTGTGCTCCGCTCACTACGAGTATCGAAACCCAATATTTAACATCGTAAGCCTACAGACTAACCACTGAACCATTGGTAATGCAAATAAATTAGAAGTTTTAGTATAGTATAACAGACGTTTGTATTTGAAATATTTATAATTTGTTTGCAATACGTTTCTCTCTTACACGTGTTATTGTTTAAATAAGGCCTATATCTTGCATAACTCGTATTCCTCGCCAAGCCAGTAAATCGAAAACCATTGCTAAATTTGAGAAAAAAATCTCTTTCAACATTCGTCTGTTGTTTTGGGTGTCTGAGTAAAGATCCATCATCTTTCACTTGCAATTCCTTCAGATCATCAAGGGTCAGCAGTACAACCAATCGGTAGACTGGTGGTCTTTTGGAGTCCTGCTGTATGAGATGTTGATAGGACAATCGCCTTTTAACGGAACAGATGAAGAAGAACTATTTTGGTCTGTGTGTCACGAAGAAGCCTACTACCCGAGGTTCCTCAGCAAGGAAGCGAAACAGATTATAGCACTGGTAGACTATTTTAGCCTTCTTGTTCATCAGAAAAAACGTCTTCTTAATAATGATCCCATGTTAATTAATTCCAAATACCGATTTATATTAATTATAACTTATTCAAGTAGAAATCAGCACTTAATGGAATAAAATGGGTCACGTGATTAATACATTACCATTGTTATAACCGGTTGATTGTAAAACTCAGTGTAATTTTTTGGTTAGAGGATTTCCCTGTTTCTTTGTTTATTATTAAGCACAAAGCTATACAACAGGCTCTCTATGCTGTTCCCACCGCAGGAATCGAACTCCAAATTTGAGCAGTTTTAGCCCTCTAGCTTACCGCTGAGCCACTGAAGGCGGCGCGATATTTGTCTAAAATGTTAATTTTGCTCCATCACTTGCGTATTCTTTGGTTCTCCTGTCTATCAAGACACAGTAAAACATAATCTTACTTAAGGATATTGAAATATTTTGGGCCTGACATGGACTGTTGGTTTGAGCGCTCAACTCACAATCTTCGGGTCGCAGAATCGAAACCTGTCGCCGAACATGGTCGCCCTTTCAGCAGTAAAGGCGCTATAATGTAATGGTCAATATCACTACTCGTTATTAAAGAGTAGCCCAAGAGTTGGCGGTAGGTGATGTTGACTGACTGTAATCCCTGTACTCTATCTCCTCAAAATTACGGACGCCTATAACGCAGGTAGCTCTAAGTAGTTTTGCATAAATTCAGTAAAAGCAAACAAATGAAACTGAACTATCTATTTATGGAAAGATATTACAGAACATTAAAATATACAGTTGAATTCTTTAGCTATACAATACTTTACTTGATAATGAAACTATTCCACAGTAAAATGTTCAAAAACGTTTTTCAATAATAAATTTAGATTATCAGCATTTAGTTTGTGTTTGTTTTCGGATATTCTTGCAAAGCTACTCAAGAGCTATCTGCGCTAGCAGTCTGTATATTAGACTGACAGTCCAGATGGAAAGCAGCTAGTAAAGAGCACCCACCGCCAACTCTTGGACTACTCTTGTCTGATTTAGTAGTCATTCTTATCACGGTTCCAAATCGTACAGAGTACGATTTTTGTTTTTGGCGGTAACGGAACGCGAACCGAGGACCCGTACGTTAATCAGTGGGCTACGTTCAACCCATTTAAATTTTTACAAGTATTTGGGCTAATAGAATATTTGATATTTAAAAAAATTAACTTGGGGAAAAACGACCTCTTACTAAATCGTCACAGCCTGTTCCTGGCTGGTCAGCGGTAAATTCGTGGACTTACAACGCTAAAATTTGGGGTTCGATTCCCTGCGGTGGACAGAGTACAGATAGCCCATTGTGTGGCTTTGCGTCACAGCAAACAAATCGTCACAACATTTCTAGTGATTGTTGCTACACTTCAAGTTGTCAATGTACTGGATGTGATAATATATATATTTTTTTCGTTCAATAGCTACTTGAAAAGGATCCAAGTAAAAGATTAGGCACGTCTACGAGCGATGCTGGAGATATAACGTACCAGCCTTTTTTCAAACCGGTTAATTGGCAGAAAATTGAACGTAAAATGGTAGAACCACCTTTCAAACCCATACTGGTTCGTATAAAATTTAATAACAAAAAAATTCAATATATTTAATTTAAAACAAGTGAAGTATAATAAAAAGTAATTTAACGTGACTGTATTAGTTTACTGTTTTATGTTTCTTATTGTTAGTCCAGTTCCTATTGAACTTCATTGAAAAATGTGCAGTAAAAATATTATTAGAGTTTAAGTAAAAATTATTCTGTAAGTTATATATATATATATATAATGGTAATTTATTTTAGTCTTAATAAATATAAATTCTTAGGAAATTCAGTTGAAAATTATTATTGTCTTATTTGTTTGATGTTAGACATAAAGCTGCACAATGAGCATCCGTACTGTGCTCACCATAAGAATCGAACCCCGAATTTTATCGTTATAAGCTCCTTGATATTACTGCTGAGCCGCTGTGGGGTATTATTCATATTACATGTGTACCTAATTGTTGTATATATACATTCCAGTCATTATTGATGTTGCAGGTGTAACTATATCATGTGTCAAACAGAAATTATAACTTTCCTGTACTTTATAAATTTGTTAATTTTATACTTTTTGTTGTCTTACAGTCAGGACCAAGTGATGCCAGGAATTTCGACACCGACTTTACTATGGAGAAAGCAGTGTTAACCACGGTGGATTTTCAAATCT